TGAGTTAAACAAGTTCATATTTCACTGGATGCATTAGTTCCGTCAAGGTTGCAACAAGGTGTATGCCTTGCTGACTAGCGCCGACAAGAGCGAAATCTACGTCTGTAGTATCCTGCCACTCGCCTTCATCCAACTAAAAATGTAGGTGGTATATTTGTCTTGAGCACTCTCGTCAAACGAGTATATACGACTTGTATCCTATCTTAATGTTTATGGTTGATTGATTAAATATGCTTAGATTCGGAGAACCTAATAGTCATTTTCTAATTGACTGACACTATATTCTCGGATCGGGTGTTCTTTGAAATCGTTCGAAATGAGCCATTTTCACTTGTTGAAGACAGCCACATTAGTACCACTGTTTCATTGCATTTAGGACGCTGCTGTTGACTATTTCTACTTAAACAGAAAGAGATGTTCTGTATCTGTTGATAAATAAGAATTGAGTAAATTAGAATCATACAGATGCATAATGTCTAATGAAACGAGAAAGAGTATATTTAGCCTTCTGTTTATATAACTGCTAAAAAAAATACAACTTTGAGATCAGTACGGTGCAAAATTCCTAAAAAAAGTGAAAACCATTTCTGTTTAGTAAGATCATTTCCACAACATTAATTTATTCGATAAACAGTTCTGAGAAAAATCAACAAAACATAATTCATTGAAGAGAATTTTCTTTTCAGTTAACTATGTACAAAAGTTGTACATATCTATTTGTAGTTACATGGAAAACATGCCTTAATCAATGGCTAAGCCAAGGTCACCAAAAATTGTTCATGAGATAACAAGGTAATGGCTGAAAATTCATTGCAGCGTAGTTACAAGGTGATTCCATGATAATCTATGAAGTTGTAGAACAGGTAATGACAATTGCAGAGTAACGATAAAATAGATAGATAAAGTAAATACATAAACAAATGAACAAATAGCGAGTAAACAAATAAAGTTATCTAAAGATAACTACTAAGGTAAAACTAGAGATTGGACTTACCTCATTTGAACTCTAATATCAGGCTTGAAGTGATGAATTGCTAAGGCGTCTGATGTATTCAGGTGACGAGTCGGTTCTCCCTTAGAAATTTTTGATTTGCCTTTATGAATATCTTTAAAGGAAGATTCTGTTAGAGCCGAGTAACCATAGCTAACCAAATGCTCAAGAATCGAGTTATTATACACTTTGTACTCTCCTCTAGACAGCCATGCAGGACAGTGCTTGGAGATGTGTTTGGATAGGACAAGCCTTGTGCGGCTTAAATACGCATGTACAGCTTCTGAAAATGATTCATGGAAAATAAAACTTTCTTCGCTGAATTGTCTTTTGTTAGGCTCTATGGAATTCTGATGAATGGTAGCAGAGACACAACATGCAGCATCTGCATTGACCAGATTCTACGTAATAACTTGTTCTTTTCTATTCATTAGTGATTAAAAACCAAGAGATGATCAAATGTCATAGTGATAAAAATGAATTAAGTGACCAAACACCACAGTATGTTATAGATGAAAGTAACTAACAAGATACTTTATTTGCTTGCATACATTCTTCATCAAAATGTATTTGCAAATTATCTGAAACCCAAGCCGCCGTATAGAACCAGATTCACATCGTTCAGCGCTGCAGGCAAAAATGTTACTTGTATTATCCTCTCGTTGATTGGACCGAATTGATCGGTCCCTATTGGCATGTGGACACCAGCACGGATGCCTTGATAGTTTAGTCTGACTACTTTGAAATCTCTGATTAAACTGGGATGGGGAAAATAGGCCATGATTCAGACTGCAAAAAGTCCCTTTATGTTCCTTTTAAGTGCGTACTGTGACGATGGTTTTATAGTCGTCGATGATTTCAATTTAACGTCGTAGAATATGCATTTTCAAACTGCGTCACATTACAGCAACAAGTCCGGTGATGAAGTGTCGTCATCATCATCTACAACAAATGTCTACGAAATTCTGCAAAACTTGAAATTCCCGCCTAACTATGTTTCAGTAAAAAGAGTTTTTCTGCAAACAAGACGTACTGTTTGTAATTACTCACTCCTCTTCGTCAGTGTGAAGCATTGTTAAGATATGAAATGTTGCTAGTCCACTGGTAAAATGTTATCAGTAAGTCAGAAAGTTCTTTCAGGTGTCAGTTTGCCATTAAGTCCTGCTTGAAATAAGTTACATTTTTGGCGGGCCCCATCAAGAATTTGTATTTACACCTTCAAGGAGGTTATTGCCTAATCGAAGATTTGAAGGCGCACACGTTAGTGTTAAAGTCAATGGTACGCCACAATATTCTTCTATTTGCGACTGCTTATATGTAAGACTAGATGATATATAGTAGGGCACTGGAACAGTCTATCATCTTTTTCTGTATTGTTACCCGTGCTTCCTGGAAGCATTTCATATGATCAGACAATAACATCTTTGTACTGAAGACAATATTTGCGTCGACTTAATCAAAAGCATATCTTATTACCTGTTACTCGACACCAGCAAGATTTCATTGTCTGTATTCGCAAAGCGGTCACTGAGTGAAACGTTTGAATATGGTACATTCTGTCCGATAAAAGACGATTAGAGGCAAAAAAATTAGCGTTTTGAATTTCAAACCTGGTATTTGACAACACTCTTCAGAAAGTCATACCTTTGACCTGAAGGAGACTAATGCTTGGTAAGAGGCAGGATAGTGGTCAGTTTGAAGAGTAACCTCACAGCAGCTCAGTTACAATCCATATTGTTTAGTAGAATCATCCCTGACTTAAGAACTCACCATACCTTTCTAAATAGTGCTAAGAAAGGCACAATATACCCAGAACAGTCAGGGCATCATTTCGACTTCTTTCTTAAGCAGCTGCCAACAAAGTTACAGCCTGGTGATGAAGCATCCAAGAACAAACTTCAATTCTCAGAGAACACCAGACATTTATCATCTTGTCTACTGTCTTAAACTATCTAACACTAATTCAGAAATGACATTTTTCTTTGTTGCTAGTGAGAAAAAGTTGATCAGTGTATTATTTCGTAATATGGGCACGTAAAACACAACCACCAAAGGCCAAATATACCTGGTGGTTAGGTTTTTCTCAGCCTTAAACTGAGAACACTTCAGTATGAGTAGTAAGATTGGGAATGATCATACTTTCATGGGTATAAAAGTGTAAGATTGTAATAAAGTTTGTGTAACGTAGTAAAATTTGAAGTCAACATTGATCTCAAATCGTGTTTTCGGTGTTTTCATTTACGAGGAACACTACCTCAAAATTACTCAATCCCCAAGAACCTTCCAAATGAATTACTATCTAGTGCTCATTAGGAATGTGATTCAAGATGGATCCCCTGCACTTCTAGTGGGAAATCATGACCTATGGAGTCAATCAAGTCGGGTGGGATAAAAAATTCTCACCAGTTGCAGTGGGTGATGGTCGCGATATATCGTCAGTTGACAGAAGTAAGAAAATGTCATCTTATGTATCCTGACCCATTGGTTGAAAGGCAATCTGCTGAACGTGATACCTGGCATTCCTGCGTTCGATTTTCGACGACGTCATGAATGCTCACCGTCGTGTAATTCTATGTTAGGTTGAAACAGCTGTATAGTGCTTTTAGTTAATGGTTCTCTAGCCGATGTCAGTCTATGATAACTATAACTTTTAAGTCAGACTATCTCTGTAAACCTCAAAGCTGAATTTTATAGCTCGGTTTTACTCATTAGTGCTGTTCTAATCTCAAACACCTTAGAAAAGTGATTGTTAGTACGATTGACAGTGGCCTTCTGGAAAGTGACTGATTTGTAGACACATCCTTGTTCATAATTGTGACATAAATCACTTGATATTTCAGGACTATCCCCAAGATGAATCTTGAAAACTTAGGTCTATTATGGAACACCGGCCAACTCTTCTTCTACTTAGCATTGTTTCCATGACTGTTGATTAGAATTTCACATATCATTAGTCTTATTACTTTTCTGGGAGATTTTGTGGGAAGTCTCTAGATATTATTTGGTTTCCAGATAGGTTTCCAGGTAGACTGGCTTTATGTAGCCTTCGGTAAGAGATTATCGACTATAGACAATGTTCGCTTTCAGACCATAGTGAAACAATTATCCCTAAAACACTTTTAAGACCATCACACTTAGTCAGCATTTCTCTTTTTACCTTCACTTCTGATCTAGTACACCTATTTTATTTACATGATAACAGTAGTTTGCTTGGTGGTGGCTGGGAATAGAATCCAAGATGCGCATTTTGTCCCATTTGGGACTGGTCAGATGAATGCATTTGCATCAAGGTGAATGTTGGTGTACTCACTGAAACTTTAACCATGTGTCAATCAGTCAATCGGTTTGATCCAGCATAGCAACTAAGAATTACAAGTATCAACAAATAATAACAAATATTATAATCGATAACGTTTTTCTTTTCTTGTACTGTTTGGAGCAAATAGTTGATTCAACCAACTTTTACACAAGTTGAACAAGCTTGTAAACAATTAAATACCAATATGGTAAACGAAAGAAAATTACTTATTCATTGTAAGAAGCTACAAAAACATTCTATCTTGCATAACAATCAGCTATACTGACAACAGTTAAATCAATTAACAAAATAAATTGTAAACAAGTTCATATGTAATAAGTAAACTTTTAATGAAAAGTTTACTTATAATACATTAATCCATTCCATAATGCATTAACTTTTCATTGATATAAGTAAACATGTTGTTTGGATTTTGATTGTGTTTATGTGTATGATGCAACCATGTGTGTATACGTGCATGTGTGTGCATTGATAGTCACAGCTAATTAAGAAATAAGATCATGATATAGTGTTTATTCATATACATGTAGATACTATGTGTAAACAAATATTCATTGAATGAAACTATTCAGTAGTACTTCAAATGCCACTTTGAACAGTGATGGTACATGAGAACACTTTATTTACAGTATAATTAGGTTTAATTGTAAGTTTTTTCTTACACCAGAAAGTGCTGCCAATATGGTTGTTTTACTTTTCTTCAACGACAAACACTTGGTCCTGGAGAACAGAAATTAGAAAACAAGTTAAAGAGGATCAAAAAAAATACGCAAATTCTTCAAAATAACATTAAAGACTGAAAGTTACGGTATATTATGAAATCAGAAGTCACTGTCTGTCTTTTTATCTCAAACATCATATTCGCTAAGTGCTAACAACCTGCAATTGATACAGCCAAGTACCTCAGGGATCAGTTTTATTCATAAAGTTTACTAACAGCAACATTTGCAGTTGTGCGGTCAAACAACTCGAGAAATAGAAGGAAGCATACCCATTGTTGTTAGGAATGGAGACATATCATATCATACGGTCAAAATAATAGTTCACTGGTCACTAACGACTTTAAGAAGTTTAAGAGGTAACTTGTTACCTCTTGTGTGACTGTCCAGTTTAGTTTTAGGGGCCAGACATCTAATAATGGGATTAGAAAATAGTCTTACAGCTTAAACTCAGCTAGATACCAAAATATTTTGAAAGTTGTTGTGTTTGTGTGTATGTGTGTGCTTACATAATGCTGAGGGTTTCCAGACTATGATCAAACACTCGTTCAGCACTCTCTGCTTTTCTGTAATTTCTCAAACTTAAAGTTTAATAAATTTGTTGTGGACAAGCTTTAATCATTTCTGTATTTTACTTAACCTGTTTGTGTTTGAAAGAAATGTGAGGTGGGTTCGAGTCCCAGGAGGAATGCCAACATATGCGAGTACTTCTTTATGTTTAGGTCTGAGGGGGAGGGGGTTCTCAGTTGAAAAGGTTCGTCAGTTCCCACCATTTTACAAATAATGCAAAAATTGTACTCTCAGAAACACTTCCAAAGATCACTATTCTACAAAAGCAAGCAAATGTTGAATAGAAAACTCAGATGAATCTTCAGTTTTATTAGGAAATGACATTTTCATGGTATTTACAGATAAGTGTGAATATGTCTCCTAATGTGGCTGATAAGCACTATAAAACTCAAAGGGAATTTTATTTTACTCACTCATATGGATTTTGAATTTTCTCTGAATGACTAATCATATTCCGTTTACCCTTAAACTGCTTCACATAGTCATCGAAAATGTCAGAGAATTGTAATATGCATGAATCTATATCCAAACTTGGATGAAAGATAGACTGAGGGATCAAAAGGTGAGTGAAGCAGGTGACCATCCTGAGGGAGTTTCCACCTATTGTATCTAATAAGGCATATAGTGTAGTAGATAAAAGCTAGAGCACTTCAAGCTTACCAAGAGTCAGTTTATCCTGTTATTTCTAGTGATTTCTCGACTAAATAAGGATGAAGTTGCTTAGATCATCTTCAATTCTACAACTTTTATTCAACAGTGAAAACTATTGCAAGTTGCTATTCATCGTTGACTGACATCAGTTGGAGGAACAAAGGAAACCTGGAAGCACTGGACAGCTGTTTCGTCCTAGTATGGGACTCCTCAGCAGTGCACACCCACGACTCCGCAACGGATCTAACCCATGACCTTCAGGTTCCGTGGCCAGCATGTTACCATTGAGGTACTTGGTCAGAATCCAATGGCCCATATATCATGAGCTAACAGAAGTTGGAAATATGGACCAATGGGTTCTGACCCAGCACCTCAATGGTAACGTGCTGGCCACGGAACCTGAGGGTAGTGGGTGCGCACTGATGAGTAGTCTCATACTAGGACGAAACAGCTGTCCAGTGCTTCCAGGTTTCCTTTGTTCCTCCAACTGATGTCAGTCAACGATGAATAACAGCTTGAAATATTTCCAAAGCCCCACAACCCTCTCAAAATTAAAATCTACTGATTGATTATCACAGAAATATTTGTGATGAAGTTTTACAAATATTACAGATAAATCCGTAATGAATTGATTCTTAAATGTACAAACGTTTGATGGATATAACCTTCATTGATCCTTTAAAACCTCATATAAGTAGTTGAATTAGTTACAGGGTCGGACTTTAAATTAAATGTCAGCGTCAAGTTTAAAGTCGTTGAACTAGGAAGTTCCACCCCGCAATATCTAAACTTTCGGTTCTAAGGTCTCATCATATCTTGAGTAAAGTTATCGATGAAAACTTCAAGTAGTTGATACTGTTATTAGATTGTTCTTTTGATCTGTAATATCATTACACTTATCATTTGTTCCAGTAGCTCATTTTAATCGGGTTTGCAAATAGTATGACTCGATATCTGTTTTTGGTAGAACTGAAAAGTTGTGTAATCTTTGAAGTGACCAATCAAAATAAAATGTAATTTTTATTCAGATGTCCACAAATTCTGGCAGAAAAGGAGAACTACCTCAATAATCATCGAAAGTTGGCGGTTAGATTCTTAAAATTAAAATTAGCCGTTATACTGGTTATGTAGGTTTTCAAAGTTCGACTTAACAAAAAAGGATTTAGTCTTTAGGCTGTTCAATCAAGAATGAAGTCGTAAGACGGCAGAAGGCCGTAAAAGAAGACACTTTTTAATATCAGTCCACTGGGAATCAAATCCTAGGGCTTGGAGAGTGAGAGTCAAGGTTACTTTTTTGCATTAGATTAGACAATGATGATAAATCACACTAATGAATAGTTCTTTACTCAGTATTCCTTCTACTTCAGACAATAAAAAGTGTGTGTAAGGCCTCAGAACCTTGATTATTAAGGAGACACTATCATTAAAAATTAATTTCTAATTTTTGAAGATGCTTACTTCAACCACAATATAAGTCTAGTATTTAAAAGTTCGACAGAACTAACGACAGTGCAGTGCTACTCAGCAAGCCGCTAAAGCATGACACCATTTGTCAATTCCACTCTTTTTTTTACTGTAATATTGATTTATAATACTCAAAATTTCGTTGCAGCTTGAGTATACTAAAAGAATACCCCTGCGAAAAGTATCTTGTGGAATAGTACTTCGTGTCATATATCTAATGATAAACCGGACCAGGTGTTTGTTCAGCTTTTCGAAACCCCCTGGGGTTAGCCAATAAGTGAGCCGATTTATCTATTATTTTCTTACGATTTAACAAACAATAGCAATCTTCCTTTCTAAAACCCTCTTTTTTATCATTTTCCATGCTTATATCAACACCAATAAGTTGACAGTAAGTATGGAAGAATGTTTGATTGTGTGACTACTGTTTAGGCAAAGAGCTGTTTCATATGTCGCATTCACTTGACAGCCAAGCAGAATACATGGTAACTGAAGTGTAATATAAGCTGAACTGGTAGTTCAAAGGCGGTTAGTGACTATCATTCGAATACAGAACGTGCAATCTAGTCTGCTGGGACTACTAAGCTGGATCTGCCTGTACCCCAGTAGGTGACGGTGTTCTTAGCTGACAAGTCTGAAATAGGACGAAAAACTATCCATTCCTGATAGCAGAATCAAATCACTGGTTATATTGAGGCATCAAGAAAGAAGACCATGTACCAAAAGAAGCTGTAAAATTAGGTCAAACCAGTCAGCAACAGGAAATAGCAAATCCTGTTATAACGCATAAGCAAACTGTGATTTTTTATCTGACTATTTATACCATCAAACCAGTAAAGGCTAGGTCACTGGCTTGAATTCACTTGTGATTCCCGTTTCTTTTCAATCTCAGTCAGCATCTCAATCTATCAAAAGATCATCTGCACTGCATGCTCCGTATTCTGATTCAACATGAATGCTGATACTAACCGGACTGAAGAAAACCCCAAATTGTCTGAATGTGTTTCATACTTGCTATTAAGAGAATACTGATTACCGATCCTGTAAAACTCGTCGGAATTCTCAGGACGGTAGAAGACATGGTTAATAATTCATTGGAGAAGGAATCGTTATGCTTCTCAGTTTGCTTCTAGCTGGTCATACATGAATTTATGCCAGTTACTGATTTTACCAGCACGGTTTAGCGCCATCTCAGACATTCTAGTTAACAAAGAGATAAGTATATTGGCTAAGATTATTTATTGAGGTTCGTAGTTTTTTCCTTGCTGTATTAAATGGAATCGTTCTACCATTATTAAATATGAATAAAAATCTAGACAGTGGTTAGAACATTCAGTAATCAACAAAAGTACTTCACCGTAGCTTATAAAATTACATGGAAAATAAATTTTTTAAAAAAAAGAAACATGTGCATACCATTCACTGTGATTGTGTTCCTTTTTCCCCTATAATCTCTTACCTCTTTTCTGGTTACCTCTTGATGTTCTATACTGTCTTCTTCAGGTATTTTATAGATGAAAACATGTGCATGTAGAAAAGTGAATAGTGTGACAAACAGAAGGCAAAGACCAGAACTTAAACATCCAACACCAATTGATAAGATATCTCTGTTAAGAAATAGAGAAAAGTAGAACAATAAAATTACCTCGTATGATTCATATATGTTGCAAGAATCATTTGTAACGATACCGTTAAATAAGCAAATGTGTATTTACGATGGCACGAAAAAAAGTAAATTTGAGAATTTTGTTTATTCCAGTAATATAATCAAACTGTCTGCTTAAACGTTTAGTATTTCGAGTCGATTGGTAGGAGGCAGAGAGAAGTGAATAATAATTTGAAACTGTTTATTTTCACCAGAAGGATTATATTTTAGTTTACCATCATCTTATTAGTGAAAAATGATATCAGCAACATTTGGTGGCTTCATTAAAGTAAAAGGAAAAAGAAACAAACAAACAACCGTTGTTGCTTTTTGAAATTTCTCATTGTTCAATTTACAGAACTAAGATGATCAGCTTTTGTTCGCTTTCTATGGCTACAATGAAAATGAATGTGGCTGAGTTGGATCAAGAGAAGAATTTCTGATATAGATTTATTCCAAATTGGAACTTATCATTTGAATTTACTGATATAAATAAGGATATCTTCACTTGGGTTCATATTCATATACCAATAGATACTCATCAGCTCACCTATAGAGATCGATAAATTTTAGTAGCATCTCATGTTTGTTGAACAAGAGAGGATCATTGTAACTGCCTATTTTGATGGATATCACATGAAGCAATTTATGTCTACTTTCCATTTCGTTTGGGGGTGAAAACTCACCAAAATTTAAGTATTTTGACTAATATATCTTGAACAGAAAGAAACGCACTTCCTGACAGGTAGCTGTGATCAAATAAACTCCAAAATGGGATTTAAATCTTACTAGCCAAGTGTATGATTAGTTTAAAGTTCGATTACCTTATAAATAAGTAACTCAATAGTTTTATACTATTCGACACAAAACTAACAAAAGATTATTCGCCATTTTCAGTTTAACGTATACGTTTTCCGTATTTCTTCTAGCAACATCAAATAAAGGGAATGAAGTTGAAAGTGTGAATAAACTTTTAACTTTAAAATGTTTTTATTTCAATGTGCAACACTAAACAATTTTTAGTTGAGACTTGAAAAATTCCTTCTTGAAGCGTTAATTTAACAGATTTTTGTTCCACACACTTTTTATTCATGTTATAGGGACATCAATTAATAGTTACGGTTGTAAAAATTCTGCACAAATTCATTCAATATGCTTGTCTGAGTGTGTCTGCATGTGTTTGTATATAGATAAAACTAGGAATTTTGAGGGAGTTGTAGGCATTTGGAAATATTTCATGTTGTTATTCATCGTCGACTGACATCATCTAGAGGAACAAAGGAAACCTGGGAGCACTGGATAGCTGTTTCGTCCTAGTATGGGACTCGTCATCAGTGTGCACTCACGACCCTGCCGGGGATTGGACCCATGACCTTCAGGTTCTGTCACCAGCACGTTACCATTGAGCTACTGGATCAGAATCCTATGGTCCAAAGCCTGATGATCATGAGGACAGTTACTCAACGATGACACTGGGTAGTGGCTGCGCCATATCATGAGCTAGCAGAAGTTGGGAATATGATACTCATCAAAGGACGATACGTCTGTACCACAATGTTTGTGTGTATGCATTGATTTGCCTATTGAGAGTAGAAACACACGTAGGACACTTCCAGTACCAGGATTTTATCAACTAGTGTAGTGATGATGATGTCGACTAATTGAATACACTTTTGAAGTCAGTTTCCTTAAATGATATCACTTAAAAATAATAATTTCACCATATAATCTACCAAAAATAGGTTTTTGATGCTGTTGGTAGTTTAAGAATAAAAAGGTGAACTAGTACCAATTTTTAGTGAACTATTTTTACTTTAATCCCTCAGCTGTCCAAACTTATCATGTGAGCATATAAATATCATCGTCATCATTATCTTATTGGACATTAGTACGTGTTTCTTTGTTATGAAGTTTTAAAACTTTGACAAAAAGCAGTGTAAAAGACGAGTGAAGTTAAACCGCTTTCTTTCATGTATTGTATATTAAATTCGCAGAATAATTCTCAAAGGATAAATGAATTTGTCTGTATATATATATATATATATATAAGCTTGCCAGTGAACATTAAAAAAGCCACTTTTTTAAAGAAGGGGAAGAAGAATCACAGACATCTTGTATACTTCTTTTATTTAGTATTCATGTTACAAAGGATATGAATATCTTTCCCTTATTTCTGTAATTGTCTGCTGCTCCAGTTTGTGTATGTATGTGTGTGTTGATGTTCCTATCGAGACTATAATGGTACTGTCTGCTATTTGTAATATTAGGTTAGGGTTCAAATGTTTTTATTAGTTGCTTTAATCTACCAGAGCTTCTGCGTGTTTCAGTAAAGGTTAACGTATTGTGAAGCAAACCTTTAAAGTGTATGAAAAGTGACATCACTTATATTGCATGCAAAAGTGACTATTTTTTATTGATAAGTAGTTGACTTGTAATGTATACAGTACAAGAGAATGCTAATATATGTGAATATATTATGCTGAGTTGAATGTGATTTTGTAAATTCATGAGAGAGAAAAAATGTCATGGCATTTCTGGGTTTAGTTAAAAGTTAATGTATGTGTACATAATCAATTTTGTAATATTTCATTCTTCAGGATTAAGCCTATAGAATGAAAAGTTTTTCTAGAATAAAACTCGCCATTTTATTATTTATTCATGCTTATCATCTCTTATTGATTATCATGAAGAACCGAATTGATCCATCTTTGTTGGGATATGGACTCCTTGAACCGATGAACCAATATTGCCTCCAATTTTATCTTGATGCTGTTTGCCTGAGGGCGGCTATCAGTGGAATCCAGCAAGCAAGTTATGTCCTCTTCTGGTCTCTTCACCTGGATATACTTGCATTCTAGTGAGAGATGGTCTTTCTACTGAGACTTAAACTCATTGTCTACCGCTTCAAATGCCAAAGTATTATCCATTAGACTACCAAGCTCAAGGTTTATTTTCAGTTAATGGAAAGGTTGTTTTGTTGGAAACTAACCGGCTAATTGTCTTTCCTATGAATAGTGACGTGATGATTGGAATTTACTTGGGAAAGCCTGACAACATCAGTATCCAAGCAAACAGCCTTGACGTATAAATATGTGAATATGTTTCGATGTGAAGGGCAAAAAGCCCTGATGATCTTCTTCAGGTGTGTTGAGTATATATTTTGTGAGCTTATGTGATCCCAACGGAAGCAAATGATACTTTCTCCAAGATAACAGACTAGTTCAACTGACATCTTAGTAAATGATGTTAAAATGAAAATACTCAGGGCATGACTTGTTGATTGGATCATTAATTTCCACACGTCGTTTATCCGTAGCCAGTGATCGATATTATGCTGTGTTTCATCATGCTAACCAACATACACTTATTTTGTTTCTTGGTTTTCTTATCACTCCGGTACACTATAATTAATATAGTGAATAGTTTGGAGGGTACTCTGAACTTTAACCATTTAAAGAAATGGCTAACATGACTTGTTTCTAACTGCATAGGTATATCTGGCTTTAGAAATGTTTCAATAGAGCAATAGAAGAGTAAAAAAATGGGTACTGTGTTACAGTGTAATTCCGTATTAAACTGTTTATTTGATAGGTCACACAGCGATATAGCATTATTTACTGGGTGAAGTTTCGAGTAGAATTTGTTGCTTATATTTATATGGAAGTAATCATATGACTTTAAGACTTCACTTATGCAGTTAGGCAGCTTTTTACTCTTCTGTTTTAATGTTAGTACCACCATTACTTTGATATGAATGTGAGCAATAAATTATGCCTGAAACGTTATCCAGTAAATAATGCTTTATCACCTGTGCTACATCAAGTAGACAATTTAATATAATTCAATAGACTAGTGATTTCTTCAGCATCAAATTTATTTCGGTAATGATTCAATATCTGATTGTGAATAAAGTATACTGCTACTGTTACTGCATTATGTGCTTACAATGAGTTTTAAAATCTACAGTCATCACATTCAATATTTAAAAAACGAATGTCAATTTTGTCACTTACCGATAGGATATAACCTAGTAAGTGTTGATGGTTAGCAATAGAACCAACGACGTATGTTTCAGGCTCATTATAATAATATTATTATTTGTCCCTTGTGTTCCCAGTGGAACATAGGGATTCAGTAACACGTCTCCAATGCGCTTTGCCCTCTGCAATCTTTTGAACCTGGCTCCACGACTGCTCACAAGCTTTCATTTATTCCTCACACGATCTCCTCCATGTCACCCTCAGTTGGGACGCCCAACTCACAGTTTCCCGTCTGGGTTCCACTTGAAGGTCTAGCCTAACACGTGATGTCTCCAGTTGGCCTTCTCAGTGTATGCCCAATCCATCTCCACTTCCTTCTGCATATTTGTTGAGTGATAGGTTCTTAGTTGGCCCGTTCCCAGAGTTCCTTGTTACTTACTCTTCCTGGCTATCTGATCTTCAGTAGCGAGCCAGCGTAGGCAGTTGTTGATGAATATCTGTAGTTTGTTGGAAATCCCTTTCGTAACGCACCAAGTCTCTCAACCATCACATAGAAGCACTGACTTGACATTGGTGTTGAAAATCCGGATCTTGTTCAGGCTTTATGCTGAGTGGAGTGCAGTAGATCTCCACACTGGTTTCAGGTCAAGGAACGCGTGTCTTACTGTCCTTCCGGTCCTGGCTTTGACATTCTCGTCTGTGCCATTGCTGCCTGTAGTTGAAATGATGCTGCCCAGACAGGTGAAAGAGACTACTTCCTTTAGGTTTCTCCCGTTAATGGTGATTGATGCTTGTTGTTGATGCTGTTGTTGGTTGGGTATCTTCATCACCTCTGTCTTCTCTACATTCACTTGAAGTCCCGTCTTCATTCGCTGCCTCGCCACTTCTGTCAACTTTTTAATTTTTTCCGTAGATCTTCAAGTTTGTGTGACATTATACAGAAGTCATCACTGGCGAAATCCAAATCTTCTAGGATCTTTTC